GCATATTTGCTGCTCACGGAAAAGGAATAGCTGCAGCAGCACTGGCCGGCTAGATCGCGTGTCTGCTGCTTTGCTGTTCGTTCAATTGAACTTCACAGCGATGAAGCAAAATATGGTGAAATTTATTTTGCAGCATCTAGTAACAATTCTTCAACCAATAGCAGCGAGTTGCTGCGGCAGTATGCTGCGCATGAAATGGTACCTTAATTCGGAACACACCCTAAGTTACGTGTGGGTATATATGTGTGTGTGTGTGTGTGTGTGTGTGTGTGTATATATGTATATATATGCTTTAAGCCTGAGCTTGTGATTTTCTGGATTGATGTACGCATGTTGACATAAATATTAGTGAGTGTCAATATTATAATTTTGTTATAATAATGAATTCTGTTTGAGATAACATTCTGATTATACGATTTAATTTTGCAAACTTGAAGAATCATAAATAAAATGACTCTCGACTGTGCGATCAGTAACGAGCAAGTGATTTTTGTCACGGGAGGTTATGATCATACTATCAAGATATGGCAACCGCATACAGGCGTCTGTCAACGAACGTGTCAACACACAGATTCTGTATCCTTCACTATGTAAACAAATAATATTTTTAATTCAAAATTTTACATTTTTCATTTATTAGTAGAAAAACTTTTTGAATTATTTTTAAGCTTCCTTAATGAGTTTTTCAGCAAGTCAATGCATTGGATATTACACCGGATAAGTATGTCGTAGCTGCTGCTGGTTATCAGCATATACGGATGTACGACCTAGCTTCAAACAATCCCAATCCAGTCATCAATTATGAAGGAGTGTCAAAAAATATTACCAGTTTAGGTTTTCAGGTTTTATGTCAATATTATATATTACTCTCTCTGTGCAAAGGATATTCCTTTACTTACAAATTTGTCTACATATTATCAATTTAAGTTTTATCATCATATATATTTTAAACTCTTATTATATTTTACAATAATATTCATAAGAGTATTTCTTACAAATAGGAAGAAGGAAAGTGGATGTACACAGGAGGAGAAGATTGTTCAGCAAGAGTATGGGATTTGAGGTAAATCACATATGGAGAGACAAAAATGATTTGTATTTTCAATTCAATAATACTAAATTTTATTGACAGATCCAGCAGCTTTCAGTGCCAAAGAATATTTCAAGTAACTGCACCTGTAAATTGTGTGTGTTTACATCCAAATCAAGCGGAACTAATTGTTGGCGATCAAAGTGGAGTCATACATTTATGGGACCTTCGTTCTGATCACAATGAACAATTAGTATGTTATCGCTTTTCCTCTTCGATACTTTTACATTTATTTTTCGAATTTAAAACTGCAAAAAACTTTTGGAGAGATAAAGTTTTGATAATTCTCTTGATTTTATTTTATTTTCTATTAAACATGTAAATAATGTTATACATACAAATTTATGTAAGTAATGTTATGTACTATTTAGGTACAAAATCTATCAAGAAATAATGAAATCGTAGGTGTGAGATTAGAGTAATTTTAATATAATTGTTCCATTTAAATATTTTTAGATTCCTGAGGCTGAATCTTCAATTCAGGATATTACTATAGATCAGGATGGCACTTATATGGCGGCGGTAAATAATAAAGGACATTGCTACATTTGGACACTTTCAGGAGGTGTCGGAGAAGAACCAACAAAACTTAACCCTCGTCACAAACTTCTAGCTCACAAACGTTATGCCCTCCGCTGCAAATTCAGTCCTGATTCTACGTAAGTTTTCTTATTTTTATGATAAATATTTTTCCATCTTTTTAAAAAATTAATATACCTATAACATTTTATAC